CAGCACTGCTGAGATTGCAATCTCGCTCAGGCTCACTGGTGAACAGTGAATCAAATGCAGCCAAAATTAGTTTATGTAATAGCAGAGAGGCAGCAGTCTAGATCAGGATCGCTGTGGAGAGAGAGATTTTAACATGTCCCTTTGCGTACACACAGATATTCATAGATTGTCATGCAAAGATGCAGCTGTTTCCCTGCTGCAGATAAACACACAAATCTTCATTGATGGAGTAAACATGGAAATAAGGCCCCAGTAACATACATCCACCTTAAATCACCAGATGTACTTGTGGTGCTGTCTTTCAGTGGATAGGGGAATAAAGAGAGCACATAATATACCTTGGGCAAGGATGAAGATGTTCTCCTCCAGCGTGGGTGTTACAAGCCTCTCTCTCTTCTGTTTCAGGACATTCTTGACCGCCTCCAACTGCGATATGTTTTATACTCCGAGTTCTGCTTCGGAATCCTGGTGAAAGGTCCTCTGAGTGGCAAGTCTTTGAGCAGGAGCTCCATGAAGACCAATCCGACATCTCACAGTCTTTAGGCATAACACAGGACTGAAAGGTCAAGGGCATGGTTTCTTGCACACACAAGCTGTGATAAGAAAGGGGTTTTGTTATTTTTTAAAAAAGCAGGATGCTTTCTTATTCCTAATTTTTTATTAGTTGGCAGCAAGGAGACTATACAACCCCTATGACAGCCAGTTCTATTTGATTTGCATAGTTGGAAAGCAGAACCAAGGCATCTCAGGAGGCAGGACAGAAATAAGAAAATGTATCTGGTTAAAATCAGAGCTTGGAAGTGTTTTTTGTTTTGTTTTGTTTTTCATTCCTAGGATTCCCCAGCCAGCATGGTCACTAGCAACATCATGCCACACACACAGCCCTAAACAGTTTTTCCAAGTTCTATTCAAAGGACATTTCTGCTTTAAAAAAGAAGATACCAAAGTTGAAAGTGCCTAGTGTTTTGAGATATTGACTTCAAGATATCCCAAATGCCCCTATAACTCAGTATATTGGTCTGATATACCAGTTTAGCGACAATAAGCAGTATATAAATTGTTTAATCCAATTTAAAATAATTAAGTAGTTTCTTTATTTCACAACCCCAAGGAGGCTACTTGAGCCTGTTTATGTGGCACAACCACTGCCTGGAAACTTTGAAATATTGCTCTCAAGTAAGGCCCATGAATGCCATATACAGGAAGAGACCACCACTAATATGTTTATTCTTAAAATAATTAAGATATGGATGTAAATTTCATGAAATGAAAGACAAGCTAATAGCCCCTTTCTTTATAATATCTTACGGTGTTGCATTTTTGAAACAAGATCACAGCATTTAATTATGCATAATGTGAGGTTAATTACACTAAATGTAGCATTAAATTGCAAAGGTACCAAAGGCTTATTTCTGCTTTGTAAACCACAAATCAATTTTATTGGTATTTGTCGGATCTTTCAAATATTTTACTTAGATATAATAATATTAGGTTTGACAGTGAACATTTCAATAGGGATGCTTGCAAAAGTCATTGCAGTGCCATTTATAAGAAGAGAATGGACAGATCGCTTGTTGCCTGGCTTCTGTGAAGGTTAACACCAATGCTACATCCTATGCCTTTGCCCCAAGGCCTACTAGCTTACTCTCAAACAAAGGAAGGAGGCAGTCAATAGTGGTGCCTATTCCTATGACTTGCTGAGAATCTTCTGCTGACAGAATGGGAGGCATATAACACTTCTTGCTGTTGTTAAGTTCCTTAAAGATGGTGGTCTACTTTGAAAGCATGCCATGCAGTCACTGTGGTCTCAGTGTGATCATGGCTGGGGGAGGCAGAGGCTGCTCCTACAGAGCCATCTGCTTTGCCCCTATGTCTTCCTTTGAGTGTGTAGAACTTCTCCGAGGTCAACCAGTGGGTTTCTCAATGGCCAAACAGGGATTTGAAACCTGGTCTTCAGAGTCACAGATCAACACTCAAACCACTAGACCATACTGGCTCAATATGACTCTACTTGTATCATTTCCAGTGGGGAAAGAGGAATGTAATGCTATTGCCATGCCCCAAACACTCATGGAGAGAAAGAAAAGAAAATGCACCCACTTACTGTACTGTATAACTGTATTACTGAGAATAAGAGACAGATAAGCACCTATGCACTTAACCCCAGATCTCAGAGGTCAGCACTACACAGCAATATCAGTATAATGTTAGATTGCTTATGTTCATTGTAGAGGAATGAATAAAAAATGAATACATCTTGATTGGTGCTGCAAGACTATTAAGAAAAGCATGTGCATATTTTTTTTCCTTTTTGAATGATTCCATGAAAGAAAGGAAACAATGAAAAAACTAGAATTGGAAAAAAATGCAGGTGAGATTTGGAGAAACACAACAGAACAAGACTAAGAGTTCAAGACCAGGTTCACAGCTAGCTGAGTAGCAATTTCTTAATACAGCTCCACAGCTTCATGTTGGTGCTAGTATGTAATAGTGTGCCATGGTAGGAGTAGCAATTGATTATTCTTCCCTTCCACCCTCGCCCTGCTATTCCTCATGGAATTCCATTATCATTTTGAAAAGCAGAGGCAGCATGCTGGGAGAATGCAAAGCCATCTGGACCTCAGTGTCCCGGTGGGAAATCTCCAACAGATGTCCAAAAATGTGTCCAATTCCATTACATTGTGTTCTGAAGAAGGTTTCAGATACTAATAACAGTGAGGATAGGGGTGGTTTGCTAGTACCTGCAGTTCTTCAGAAATATAAATAAATGGGAACTATGTTTTATCTGGAGGGGTTCATTTCAGGACAACCCAGAACTGACCTGTGATCCATTTGTCCCCTTTCTCACGATCACTGAAAGATACTTTATACCAATGGATAAATAGGCAGAACAAGTTACTTGTTTAAATATGATGGGGAAACCACCCATGCTCGATTCAGTGAAAAAAGTCTGAACATCCTTGTTCCCCAGACCATTCTTCCTCTTGAAAGTTTTTGTTTAATCCACCAATGAATGAAAATGCTGTCATTTGGCACTGAGCAAAGTGATTAGGTTTTTCTAAGAAATGTGTACCAGTGAAACTGTGTTTCAATAGTTTCATTTGTTGTCCATGAACCATGCTGTAACTTTCTCTGACATATATTGGAGTTACCTGTAGGAACTCCTGTTGAAATACAACACTGTAGAACTGCTGTAAAAAAGATTAGGGGAGGCCATATCTTGGAAGGCATGTAATAAGAGAAATCTCAGTGACACTTTGCACAGATTCTTTGTCTAACCAATAAAAATGATATACTTTTTACCTAACCAATCCCTCCTTCAAAAAAGGTAGATAACTATAATAAACAGGAGGTTATATCTAGGCTTACTATATATTACTTTCTACTTCAGTAAGCTTGCAAGATCTTCAGCAAGATTAATAAAAAACTTGATCCTTTCCCTTAAGGATATATAGGGAACTATATATCATGAGAAGTTGCATGATGAACTTAGCAACTCAAACTGCTACACAAATTTCTAATGCTGATCTTCTTTCCCCAGTTGCTACCAAATCTAAAGGCAGACATCAATGCTAATGCCCTCAAAATAATATTTTGGGCAACTTAGAGTTTAAAACTGGTAAGCTTAAGCATATATTCAAGATTCAGTCAAGCAGAAATAACATCTGACCCAATATGACTCAATATAAATATAATTGCTCGTTCCTGACAGTGATAGATGTCCACATGGCATATATTTTTCTTATTCTATTTACGTGAATTACCAGTGGATAAAATGGAAGCCATAAATGAACTGAATTAGTTCTTTAATAACTTAATTTATTCTTGAATGACCCAGTGAGTAATTTTCCCTTCCATATGAAACAAAAATTGTTTTGTGGGTGTTTTGTACAGAAAATTGTTTTTCTGTGCAAGACAACATGTATGAATTTTGCATATAAATAGTCCTGAGCTGCAAATGTTCTCATCAGTCCAGGATTCTTCTCATCAAGGTTTCTCAACACACAAAAAACATGTTTTTGTCATTTTTTTTCAAATATTTTTTAATATTCTTTCCATTTCTAATGTGAATCTATCTTCTGGGGTTTTCAGGCACCAAATCACTGTTACCTGTCCAAGTTGGTTTGCAAAAGCTGTACATCAGCATCAGTCTTTAGTGTATTTAGCCAAAGGTCATTACAGCCCTAACTGCTTTAGGCTGTAATTATTGGCTTCCCTTAATATGAAAAAAGTAGCTGAAAATCTATATTAAAGATCAATGTCTAAATGTAATTTGCATGTATACCCCATGGCTAAAAGTACTACATCAAAATACATAACTGTACTTACCTAAAAACTGAATAAGAGAAAATGTAAATGAAAGTCAAATATATGAAAATGTTAATGTATATGCCATATAATGGCATTATGTTATATTGTTATGTTATATTATATGTTATGTTACAAAGAATTTAGTAGTTTGACATTTTAACAGGTTAGCAACCAAAAATAGGGGATACCTAAAAAAAAAAAAATCTTACCTCAGCATTGCATTTTTCCCATCACTTCTTGTACACCTCACCTGCCTCGTTTGATACCCAATTTCTATATCCAGGGGCTTAGAACTATAATGGGACTTAAATCTGTGAAAATGTTGCAGATCCTCAACCACCTGAAGCTTGAAACTGCTCCGCTCGGTAGAATCTGAGCTGAAATCCAACATAGTTCTCCCGATCATATTCATTTCTTTAAGGTGAGGCAGCCGACATTTACTCCATGGTCCAACTTTGAGACTGTAGGCATATTCTTCTTCCTCATGAGAGCAAGAGATTGAAACATCACAAATTCTTGATTCAGTAAGATTTGGACATTTGGTTCCACCATAGAGTGGAGGAGCTATAACAGAACGGGTTCTGTGCTGTAAACTCTTTCCACAATGTCCACTACATACAGACCAGGAGGAGAATTCTGATACTACACAATCCCGTGGACAAGGTATTAGACAAGCTTGTTCCATAGGTGGCTGGGGACTAAAATATTCACAGATGTCATTTGCAACTACTGTTCTATTCAACTTTTGTATACATTGTACATGCCTGTGCTGTAATCCGTGCTGTGCAGTTACACACTCTGAAGTCCTTGGCTTCATTTCACCAAAAGGAACTAGAACACATATGTGCCACTCTGAAACTTCCCACTCAAAGAGTTCGAGATGCCAGTCACATATCTTAAAGCAGTTTCTCTGGCTTTCAGGTCTGTCAGTCTGTTCACAGTTTGAATGGTGGGTTGTCCAGCCTTCTGAATGAACACACCAGACTACTCGACTCTGAACACCACCTGAACCACAGTCACCTATGCAATGTCCCCAATGACCTAAAATAAAAGAAAAAGAGATCTTCAGGAAATTATGAGATATTGTGCCTACACAATTAGATTTCTTGAAAAAGGAAGATTGTCTTTGTTCAGAAACCTCACTTTCATATTCACCTTTATCATTAAGCTATCAAAACAAAGGCAACGTAGAGACCAACTATCAGATAAAATATACAACTAAGAACTGTGATTTCTGTTCCCCAAAATAAGAGCTATTCAGATTCCTTCTATTTCCCTGTTGTTTTCCTCAGAGTTCTCATAATTTCCTGATGCACAGGCATACATCTATGAAAAATGGATACCTTTCCTTTCAGGCTAGAACACACACACACATACACACCCCTCCTCCATAAACACTCACTTTTCACTGATAAATTCTATTCCAATCAATTTGTACCTACAAACCAATTCACCAAGCATTTAAAACATAAAGTTTATTTTAGTTAGTGCTTAAGAACAAGTCTGGCAATGGAAAAGCAAGATTGCAGTTATGCCTCATGTTGACCAACATTCATTTATGTCTACACAAGTGACAAGCCTTCGGTAGCCAGGGCATCCACCTTTAATGAATAATATTCTCTTGTCTTCAAGCTCTTGCAGGGCTTTTGTAGAGGACAGGTTAAATTCATTAATAGCCAGGGGGCAAGAAGTGAAGCAGACGAGACAGAAGTAGCGTGTGTGTGTGAGTGTGTTGTATGACTTCAAAGTCACTTCCAACTTATGGCAACCCTAAAGCAAACCTATCATGTGGTTTTCTTGGCAAGATTTATTCAGAGTAGGTTTGCCATTGTTTTTCCTTCAGGCTAAGAGCATGTGACTTGCCCAAGGTCACCCAGTAGGTTTCATGGCCAAGCTGGGAATCAAACTCTGGTCTCCAGAGTCATCATCCAATATTCAAACCACTACACCACACTGGCTCTTAGACAGAAGTATACAATTAGAAAATAAAAAGAAAGGTTTGTGATTCAGGATTAGGATTATGATTGTTTGTGATTTAGAATTAGATTTTGAATAGAGTTCACTTTTAGTAAGAACTCTAGTGGGAAAATTTCAGTGGGGAAAAATATATATTCTTAAATTGCTTTAATAAACCTGCTTAAGTAATAGACCTGCTTGCAAAATATATATTGTATTTTTTGGCATATAAGACTACTTTTTAACCCAGGAAAATTTTCTCCAAAGTCAGGGGTTGTCTTATACGTCGGGTGGAGGAGGAGGAGGAAGAAGGGGTGGCGCAGCACAAGGTGGGAGGAGGAGGAAGAGAGGAAGTCCAGGTTAGAGGAGGAGGGGGGAGGAGGAGGAAGGGGTGGCATAGTGTGGCATGAGGCAGAAGGAGGAAGCAGCAGCAGATAAGAGGTGAACCCCTATTCTGGGGTTTTCTTGACAAGACTGGTTCAGAGGAGGTTTGCCATTGCCTTCCCCTGAGGCTGAGAGTGTGTGACTAGTTCACCCAGTGAGTTTCATGGCAGAGTGGGGCATCAAACCCAGGTCTCCAGAGTGATAGTCCAACACTCAAACCACTACA